GTTCTTCTAAACTCAGAGCAACTGGATATTGGAAGGTGAAGAAGAAAGCTTTAATGGAGGGCAAGGAGGATAAGATGGGAGTGCTGTGATAAGCGTACTATGATGAGATGGAACAGAGGGAGGTGGCTGAAAAGCTTGGTGTCCCTCTAACTTCACAAACTTGCTGTCTGATATAGTGATCAGCTGCTTATATTGGGTGCATTCAGTTGTGACCCAGGTCATGACTCGAGGTTCATGACTCTTGGCAGGTGCAGTGCTTTTCAAAAACTATTATACATTGGATTGATGACATTGACAAGAGGTGTCACCATAGAGTAAAGTTTATTTTGACACCTCAGTGCAAGCATTGAACTGAGACCCTTGACTCATGACTTGGGTCATAACTGAATGCATCCAGTGATTGTTTAGGACCTGGCCCAAACTCTTCATAAGCTAGAGCAACTGTATTGCATTTTTCTCTTGATATAATTGAGAGATATTTTTGAAAGAAGCACAACAGCATTTAGAGGCTTTGTTACATAAGAATTTAACATCTGCATTTATTTTTACACTGCCAAAAAATATACTGGCAAGAAAAATATTTTCATTACACTTTTTTTAAAATCTAAGTCTCATGTAACATATCTGTAAAATATTCCATTACCACTTGTGAAATAGCATGAATCACATTAACTTCTATGTGGTGAAACATTCATATTAATGGGTTCACAATGTTAGATATCACATTTGGTTAACTGCCTCTGGTGTCACAGTGTGTCAGATTGGGCATTAAGTATAAATCAGTCAAAAACTAATTTTTGCAAAAATCAATTAATTCAAGGTTCATATACCCTTAATAATCAGGAAAACTAATCTCATTTTAACTCAATGAAAAAATTGTAAGTACTGAAAGGGTTAATGTCCATACACAAATCAGGTATTCTCTATAAGATGCATTCCAAGTTTTCCCTCATGTCCACTGTCACAACATGGAGGATAGTGCTAGACATTGGAAATTGGATGGTGGCCTGGGGTATGTCATATGTTTGACAATTGGAAAACCCCACTGATGTCATTGAGGAACAGATATTAAGCTCTCCTCTGACAATATTATACATTTCCATTGAAAAATATAAACCTCATGTGTGTATCTTCAGGGCTCTACTCCTGGTCATCACAATTATTTCTCTTATATAAAGTCAAATCTAGGGTGCACCTGAGCCTGCTTGAGCCATGATCTCATTAAATTGGGTGGGTGGCAATGAAAATGAATGAATGAAGAGCTAAAAGAAGGCAGATTCATGCCAGTAATTTTAAAACTATGGGGATATGAGTAAATCAAGACCTAAAGAAATGAAAGTGCTATAAAGGGAAATAGAAGTAGCTTCATTCCACATGCTGAATGAGTTCTGATTCCCTTTTATTTCAACATGGAATGAAAAACATCAGATTTAACAGATTTAACATTAAGCAAATATATGGGTTATAAAATTAATGGACCTCTGAAATTTAAGAAAGTAGAGTAATTTTCTTGATGTGGTCAAATGTTTTTGTTGCACATATTTAGTCAACTTTCATTGTTGAGTTTATGTCGAGGAAAAACTTGAACATCAATTCCAGAAGCATGTTTTTTTTTTCGTACTTGAAAATATTAAAAGATATGTCTTAGATATACCAATAGGGAGGGGTTAATCAAGAAATTGAAAAAAGATATCAATGTAAAAAAAAATTATGTGATCTCCTCTGACTTTGATTTAACTTGGTGGGCCTGTAGAGCTTATTGTGACATTAATGACACAAATTTTCAGCTCCCTTGGGCAAGTTTCTTTTTGAAGCACAGCGATTTGAATATTACCAAAAGGTGGAAATTTCTGGTCATCGCTGAAGTGCTGGCATGCTTGACCCAATTAGAGATAAAATTGATCTCATTTCAATGCCCTTTCACTAGATATATGTTACATGCAGTTTAGATGAAAACAAAGGTCAAAAGGTTTGATCATTGATCTTTATTTCCGGAAAAGGTTCTTTTAATCCCCCCCCCCCAAAAAAAAAAAACTAATAATAATAATAAATTTTTATACCAATGTGCAAAATTTAAATTTGGAGCTGCGATGGGATCAAAAGATGCGAACAAAAATGCGGCAGTGAGTAACCAAAAATCCATAGAGAATATGCAAGAAGTATGGGTGTATCCAATTTGTGCAGAAATTTGTGGATAAACTTTTTACTTGATGTAGTCTGAACCATCAGTAGTATTATAGAGGTTCATGAATTTTAACATTATGTGATATGTTATGCATAATATTTTATATCTTAAAATATATATATATATATATATATATATATATATATATATATATATATATATATTATATTCAGGAGGTCGCTAATGGGTTTCATTGGAACATGGAAGGTAGGACGAAAGACAAATGGATGACTGGCTTAAACTTCGACTTTGATCGAGTTGCTCATAAAAAAAAGTAATCACCAATAGCTATCTGTCTACGTTTTTCCCGCTTTTATTTTAATTCCGCCGTCTCTGGGAGCATCAGGGTGGAAAAGGTAAACTTGCTTCAGTTGAAGCAAGTTTTCTCTTCCACCCTGATGCGTAGATGTGCAACATACAATACGAGTCTTCGATTGAGAAAAGAGTTCAAACTGCTTATATTTTGTCCGAAAATGGGGTAGTGTGAGACAGGGCTGTAACAAGAGGGGTGCGAGCACTGTGCCCCTGTGCCACTGAACCCTGTGCCCGCACAGGGCGCCGACCTGAGGGAACCCTGATTGGCCGCCGAATAATTAAAAAAAATACGATTAAAAATCTTAGTATTCTTACTCCTACACATATCGAATCCCTGAGGGAAAAAAAATAACTTCGCATTTCATGGTCTAAACATTGGAGATCGACCGATATATCGGTTGCCAATACAAATCTGCATATATGGGCATATCGGCGAGGATTCACGTCGGCTCTTTCAAATCTTCCGATTTTTGCCGATTTCAGAAGTAGATTTCTGTTCGATCTATACAGTGAAAGAAAATACGACTAGGACTATCTTTTTCGCGCCCATGTGGAAACCCTGAGACGTCTGATATAGCCAATATGGCATCATCCGAGAGGTGATACCAGTAGCACCCCAATATTGGATCAATATCAGCTATCAAGGAGTGTACAAGGTGTCCCCACGAATCGTAACGATTTGATTTTTTAAATAACTTTTTTAATTCTGACCTTGTTTATATATTTTTGTAGGGCATTTCAAGAGAATTTTCTGACACCTATTTGAGCGAAAACGGTTTTGAGAATAAATTAATCCTCGCAGACACCACTTTTTCGCACCGCTGCCTCATTTTCATTCGCCTGATTGCGTGTGTTAATTGCGTATACGGTCTCTCTGAGTTAAGAGTTATGGCATACGTTTATGGGAAGAGCCAACAACGGATATTTCAGGCGGAATTTCGCGATGGGAGATGCCCAAGTCGATCGGCAAAGTTTTTTGAAAGCGCATTTTCACGTGCTCGGTGACGCGAATCGACGCGATTTGACATGCCGAAACTTCGTTCTCCGTGAGTCACTTCATCCCCAGTAGCACCCCAATATTGGATCGATATCGACTGCCAAGGAATATACATATTGGCTCGGTATTGGCATCCATCTTGACCCATTATTGGGATTACTACACGGAAAAACATTGGCCAATATTGGCGTTAATATTTTTCCTAAATATTTTATCCAGTGGAGGCATTTCTTTATGCAGTACTAGTGCAGCCTGTACGAGTACAACCCCTTACCCATGCACATGTCTGACCCGTGGATAGGCAGGAGACATAGAAAGTTAATATTTTTCCTAAATATTTTATCCAGTGGAGGCATTTCTTTATGCAGTACTAGTGCAGCCTGTACGAGTACAGCCCCTTACCCATGCACATGTCTGACCCGTGGATAGGCAGGAGACATAGAACAGTACAGCGGTTGATCTTCCCCTGAATATACTAATTGTAGTACATTTCAGGGGAAGATCCACTCCTTCTTGTTCTACAGAGTATTTGCGAATGCAGTCCCTCGTTTTCTCATTATGTCTTCAGGATGAGGAAACGGAGGATTGAGCCCGAGGATATTTTCCACGTTTTAATTCCCCTTTCGGATAGGGTCACCCTGTTTTCGTAAAGGGTTCTCATAGGGAATACGAGTTTGTTTATGGTCAGTCGATCGGGCCTCTAACGAACGACAGGGGTGAGTCAATTGCTAGTAATAAAGATATGGTTAGGATACTTAACGAGTTCTTCGCTTCCGTTTTCATTGTTGAATCCGACAAAGCACACCGACATTGGAGAAGGTGACTTCGGCGCGCGTTGCGGATATTTCCATCACCGAGGAGGCGATCATGAGTATGATAGGGAAGTTGAAAGTGGGCAAGGCCACTGGCCTCGATGGGATTCCTGCTCGAGTCGTCAAGGAACTTGCGAGAGAAATATCGGTTCCACTAAGAATCATATTTGAAGCAGCTTTTCGCGCAATGAAGTACCTAAGGACTGGAGGCTAGCGAACGTCGTACCGATCTTTGAGAAGGGTGAAAAGAGTAATCCGGGGAATTATAGGCCAGTAAGTCTCACGAGTATCCCGGGATAGATCATGGAGAGCATCCTAAGGGACCACATTTTGGATGTCCTCGAAGGAAACGCGCTCATCCGGGACTCTCAACGCGGCTTCTGGAGGCGTTGCAATTGTCTCATCAACTTGCTCGAATTCTACGATTGGGCGACGAAAGAGAGGGATAAGGGGAATCCCATGGACATCGTCTATTTGGATTTCGCGAAAGCTTTCAATACCGTTCCTCACAAGAGATTGCGGGTTTAACTGGAGGCATTGGAATAAAGTTATGAGTTTCACCAACGCATCGAATACGATAATTCTCATAGACGGTTTCAGTTGGATGAAAGTTACAAGTAACAACTCTGACAGGTTGTGTCTGGTTTTGTGTGAAGTTCAAAGTTGGCTTATTTGGTGCGCCCTGGTTCTATATGAAGTTTTTCAGGTTACTTGAGAATTCTGACTATTATGCATTTGGAACCAGGCCATTCCAAGGCCTAGAGATGAGGTCTTCCCATGACGTGGACTACCAGTGAAAAAGGAATGAGTTCTTGGAGTATTGTATCAAAAATGATCTTGGCACGGAGTGCATTCCTCCCCTCTCTCGTGTACAACATGGCTATGGTAAAGGTTGGAGGCCGGCGTTGGTATGATCGTATTGATGAAACCATCATTATTGGAGCACTTCCTTTCAAGAGTCACGTAACAAAGGTAGGTCCTCCCGTAGATGAGACATGGATTTTGTGTGTCTCCTAGTCCCCAACTTTTTGGCACATCCTGTGAGCCGCAGGAGTGGTTCCAGTGTATTAAAATTGCTACCAACATTCTGAGTCACATTGCCAGGTTCCGCAATTTCATTTTTTAAAATCACTAATCGAGATCTTAGAAAATAATTGTACTGCATGCAATAATTGTACAGTACTGCATGGTACTAAATCCTGATCCTGAGAATGTAATTAGACTACAGGCTTCTTGATCATGTAACTAGTCATGCTTGCGTGACGATGATGGTATCAAGAGGCATTGAGTTCCACTACTACTATCACCAGTAACTTAAATCTGTTATTCGATCAACTTCCGAAAATAGGAGCTGCATTCACATATCGAAGTTTTAGCTGCTGGCTTGTCTTTTCTATGCAAGTATAAATCTACATGCCAGTCTAAGTGCTGGAGCCTGGTGAAGTGATGCGACCTTCAACTCCAGGCAATGTTAAAATAACTCAGACATGTCATTCATGCGCGGACCTTGCCTGAAACGGGGAATGAAGGAAAGGAATCATGGGAATTAGTGAAATTTCTCAATTTAATTCGCTGACGCTTGAAAAAAAAATTGGGGAAAAAGAAACCAAAGCTGTTCATAGGCCTCCATCAAAGTACACGCAGACCTGGTTGTGTCACCAGGATTCACATAGGAATTTTGGTGGAACTTTCAAGAGAAAAACTGTCAAGTTCTAAAGTAAAAATTTTCATATGAGCCTAAAAGCTCTTTTCTAGCTCAATTTGGATCAAGATAGCCGCTTCCCCATGGGGTCACATTTCCCCGAAGGAATATCTTTGGAGTTGGTGTATCTCGGGAAACGATTGTGGTAGAGCGTTGAAACTTTAGGGTGGATTTTTGAACAGAGCACTATCCGATAATGCAGCTTTATTTCCAGGAAAATACTCTATTATCGAAGAAGCGATTTTTGAACCGAACATTTTCCATAATGCTCCATTTTATTTAGACATCGGTTCGTGATTATAGTAGAGTAGGGCCAGAGGTCCTCTTTCGTCGATAATGTTGGATTATTTTCATCAGTCGCAATGGAAGGACTGCACGGCTTGCATCGTGTGCAATCGTATCGCTTCGTGTTNTACTATCCGATAATGCTGCTTTATTTACCGGATTTATAATGCATTTTCTCAGAAATAAAGCTGCATTATCGGATAGTTCTCTGTTCAAAAATCCACCCTTAGGGTGGATTTTTCCCTTTTCTCTTTTCCCAATGTCAAGGGGTTTTTCGTGCTATTTATGAGACTGGTTAATTCATGTGATGCGCGCTGCCATCTTTAAAAACTCATTCCACTTTGCTTTCTCACGTATGAGATGCGACGTTACCGTCACCAACTATCGTTGAAAATAATCGAGGATTATTATAATAGAGCATTGTCAAATGCAGCATTATCTGGCGAGTTCAAGGATGGATTTTTGAACCAAGCTCTAAAATAATCCTGCTCTATTGGATAATACAGCTCTATAAAGAGGAGCATTATTTTTTCGATTTTTGAACTGGCCAGATAATGCTCTATTATTTGACAATGCTCTATTATAATAATCCTCGATTATTTAAAACACGACACGAATCGTTACATGAAATACAATTCGCCATCATTTCCCATTTTACTTCTTCGTGAACGACCCTGCACGACGACGAGGAGTAGTGGAGGACTCTATTCCTAATACTGTATATCTATTAGACCTGAAAAACAAATTTTCGGTGAAAAAATACGTCAAGGAATTTGCACGATTGCACACGATGCAAGCCGTGCAGCCCTTCCATTGCGACTGATGAAAATAATCCAACATTATCGACGAAAGAGGGCCTCTGGACCTACTCTATTACAATCACGAACTGATTTCTAAATAAAATGGAGCATTATGGAGAATGTTCGGTTCAAAAATCGCTTCTTTGATAATAGAGCATTTTCCTGGAAATAAAGCTACATTATTGGATAGTGCTTTGTTCAAAAATCCACCCATAGACTTTTTAAAACTCGGGTACATAATGCATGAATTTTCTCAACGGAACCCCCCCCGGACGCGCAACCGAAGTACCTGATTACTTGAGCTGGAGTGCCTCTTATTTTTTTTTCCTGTTTCCTTAATTTCCTCCCGTATCACACGGAAGCTCTCCGTAGGCTGCAGGGCCGTATCTAGGATTTAATTACGCGCTGTGGCTATTTTTTTCATACTTGTCATTGTGAGTCTTTGTGAATTTTTTCTGAATTTTTTTTGCAAGTTGCAGTGTTTAATAAGTCAAAAGCTATTAAAGATAGTATTGCACGATCTTCCCGTATGTTCAATGCTGAAGATCACTGCCTACCAAAAATACACAATAAACCTATACTAAAAATCGTAGAAGTCAGAAACGTGGAACTTCTCGAGGCTGTAGGAGTGAAAGGAAAAACCCCAGTTTTGGTTAGTTCAGGAATGTAGTCAAGAAAAAAAAAATCTTCTTTGTGTCTTTACAGTAAGAAATTTTCCCGCCGAGGTTTTAAGGCGAACCTCCTGACAACTTCACCAGGATCAACAGGAATGGTTCTGTGAACGTTCAGCAGTGCAAGTCCTGTTAGGCGGTTCTCTCCTGTTGAATTCCGCAGGTAGGTTTTGAGGCGCTTGAATTTTCGCAAGGTTGAATTTTCAACCTTTCGGCCGTCGAAGTGGAAATTGGCGTTGTAACTAGTTTCTTGAGAAGCTGGTTTATGTTGGGATAAAACTCTGAGCTACACTCGCCACGAGTTTCCAGAGCTGGATCCTGATCCTGATCTGCTGGCTTCCGCAATCTTCGAACAAATCATATCAGCTTTAAGTCAGCTGAGAATGCTTTTGGTTCAGGTAGAAGTGCAGGATAAAATTCAATGTATTCCTTCAGATATGAAGGCTCTGCAAAATTTTGGGACCGCCATCTGCAAAGAGCTGATAAAATGTTTATGTTTGGAGAACCTCTCCTTCAGCTGGGTCTGTCCACGGTGTCGGACGTGGCATCCGGAGTAATATTTTTAGTATACAAAATGTATTTAACTATGTTATGGATGACGAATCAGCATATAAAGGCTGTAACAATTTGCTTTGAGTATTGACTGAAAATTCAAAAGTCCCAAGTCTTGCACACTCTCTTTTGTTAGAGGTGTACCTTTGTTCAAAGAAAAGTGTCAGACGTGACATTGTAAACCCTCAAGGTAAAGTCGCTTGCACTAATGTTCACATATCTGTCATCGAGCGGATCCTAATAATTTAGTTTCATGTCCATTCTATAGATTGAATGAACCCTTGAAATTAGTGTAAGTCACCCCAAGGTGTCAACACTTGAAACAGAAAGCCTATTTTGTGACGGTGTCGGATGTGACAAGTTCTGAAAATGTATTTTGAAACGGGAAGTCTGTACATTTCTTTTAATTTTATTTTAAAGATATCATTTAAATGTGAACAATTGACACCTACTCTTCACACCTGAGCTGATTTGAAATTATCAGTATGCATGGAAAGCCCATGCTGGCATCCGTTCCAGTAGTCCAATTCAGTCTCCAGATTTGCATGTTTATCCAATTTTTGAGTATCATGAGAATGGTATGAATAATATATCATAATCATGACTAATTCTTTCATTTTTCAATGTAATATTCCTCTTTCGTGCTTTCTGGGAAAAGAGATGAACTTCTGTAACGAAAGTAATCTCTGCATATTTAGGAAAATTTCCGACAAAAATCCGAGGACCACTTGGCGTGGACAGACCCAGCTGCGTCCTAACACGATCAAAGAATGGCAGATATAGTGCTCTCCTGTAAAATTCTTCAGGTGTCTTCTCTACAGGAACATTAACCCATTGCGTCTGTCTTTTTCTTATCTGAGATATTGACAAAGATATTTCGGGGGGGGGGGGCCCCCGAAATATCTTTGAACCCCATGAACCTTCCTAAATATGGCCTTGGTGGGCTGTACTTTTGTCACTCCTGCCTCAGTCCATGCCATTTTCTTGCCACTATGATATGATCCTCTTGTTGCTTTACTGCGCCAAATATTTTGTCAATTGTATCAACACCTAGAATCAAGTTTTTCTCGTCTGCGCCACAGATTAGAATAATTAAATCATGTTCTGCCCTGATGGCATGTAAACGACGTTCAATCTGCGGACGTCGTCGATTCAAGTCTTTGGTGCATTACGGTTAACCCACAAATCCCGCGACATCTTAATTTAATGCATTTTCACTTGTCCTCTGCTAATTCAATGAAATTAACTTTCTAGAGGAATGTCAAGTCCTTTTGTATCGCGATCACGTTCGTTGGAAAACGGCTCACGTCCCTCCACGCCTAAGGCACCTTCCTCGCGCACTTTAGATCGGCTAGTGACGTGTGATCGATGACGTCACTCTTCTAAAACCCAGTCCTCTCAAAAATGGGTTACTCAAACACCTCATTATCACATTCTAAGATCAGATATATTTGCCATTGAACCACAACTTTCGTTGTGTCGTCCCAACCCGAGGGAGAGGCAAGGAATGAACATTTTCACTAAAAAATACTCTACATTTTTTCATGAACATTCCACGAAAAATTTTCCATTAGTGTTGTAAACTATTTTACCATAATTTGGATCTGGCTCGATTCGGTTATGGCTATTATTTCGGCTGGTTAGTCCCTGTCTGGTTAACCTTCATCGTATGAATGCTTGAGTTAGATAACTCTACAAGTAACCTCCATTGAACGAATGTTAGATATACAATACCTAACGCTATACACATTATCACGATTTTTCGCAACCAAAATTCAATAATTTGTTTCTAAGTCACCGTTTAAGATATTTCAAGTCTGAAAAAAGCATTTTGTAGCTTAGTCTTTCTTCTTTACATTACTTGTAATTGGGGAAAAATAACTGAAAACATCATACCTAAAATGCATATTGAAAGTGTGCCCTTTTTTGGGCCACCCTGTATATGTCAACTACGTCCACCTCTTCTATTTTCAGAGTTGTTGAGATTTAGCAGTGGTACTGATACAGGCCTAATGAAGATTGCTTTCTGCAGCTGGTGGAGGAAGAAAATGTGAAAGGTGTCGTATCTCTGAATGAAAGTTATGAACTGATAATTGCTGCCAAGAGAGAAACCTGGGAAGCAAACGACGTACGTTTCCTCCATCTACCAACGGTGGATCTGATGAAGGCTCCATCCCTTGAAAATCTAGTGGAAGGTGTCTCCTTCATCGAAGATGTTGCTGCATCTGGAGGAACATCGTATGTGCATTGTAAGGCTGGTCGAAGCAGAAGTGCCACCCTTGTATCCTGCTACATCATGAAGGTGAGACTTCTGAAAGCCATTTCCTTAATACCTGACTGTAACCTTAATTATGGCTTCTTCAGCTGTTCCATTTCTTCATGCAGAAAAATGGGCTTTCACCTGAAGAAGCTGTCGAAGTCATCAGAGCGAAACGACCACATGTTAGGATATGGCCTAGTCAACTTGATGCTATGAGCAAGTTCCATGAAAGTCTTCAGTCAATCTTTCGACAATAGGAGCCTCACTGACTTTTGTTTATTGCTTTTTTATTATATAGAAAATGATTTTCTATGCAAAAAAATATGTTGCTGAGTTGGTCACCCACGTACACCTGCAACGTGAGAACAGAGTGCGCACTAGGAAATGGGAAGTTTGAAGATGTCTAGGAAGTCTAATCTTATGGGTACTGGGAACAAGGGCTCATCAGAGTTGGGAGTCCTACTACCCCGGAGTGTTGGTGCACCATACTAGCCTATAGACCGACAGCATTCTCTACCCAAGCACACAAACTTCATAGGATGCACACAATTCTTAAGATGAACCCACAATCCCAGAGGTGAGTGGCTGAGAGGCAGCTTTCAATGAACCCTTAAGGATCTGATGAGAGGTCAACTCCAAGGTGAGAAAATTGGTCACTGCCTTGGCCTCAACTTTTTAAATATCCTTTCAGTGGACAGAAAACTGGAAAAAAAAACCTATAATCACAAAATTTGAAGAAATTTTGCCAGTCAACCTCCAAAAACTTTGAGGAATCTCTGGATAGATACTGAATGCATCTGCTAATTATTGGGAATTAGTAGATGAAAACCATCTGCAAAAGATGACCAGCCCAGGGAAGGAATTTAGATAGAAGGGAATTTTCACATGATTTCGAAGATTCAGAGACAACCAGGCAGGATCTGGACCACCAAGCATGCCAAGAAAAGAGATTTACTTTATAAAGTATATATTTCATTTATTATTTTCAAATACTCATACTCTCTACTCCAGGCAGATCAATTGGACAGTTTATTGTTAATGCCAGTGATGGTCTAATGACTGAGCACAATGTATTTTAATTACATTACAAATTACTGTGTAGATTGTGATTGAGATACAATTAAAAATTAATTCATGGAAGTAGTGATAAATTATAATTTCTCTATTCCATTATTAAAGTACTTTGAAATTAAAAATTACTGATGAATCAAAAGCCATTCTCTTGATGAATGCTTTTATTTCCTTCAGGAGTCATTGTCCGTGCACATCTAGGAATGCATTTATGGATTTGAGCCATGTGATTCACCTGCATGCTCATTGATTCCTGAACACTTTGCTAAAAAAAAAAAAACCAAAGTACAGGGTGTCCTAAAAGTCTCTTTACCGAGACAGTGAAGTGTTTAACTGTGATTATTTTCACTTGCATTCAGATTTTTATTAGCAGATGTGAAATGTGCATTGAACATGGACAACAATTTGAACAATTTCTGTAGCTCCTCATTGTCACTTTCTGCTGGTGGTTGGTTGTAAATAAAGTAGTTTTTCCCCAGAACATGAGTATAATCTCAGTAAAGTGACTTTTAGGACACCCTGTATATATTTCAAAGTTTCCAGGGGAAAGGTGGTACCTCTCGGGAGTGCAAATCATCCCCATGTAAGAACAGGTGCCCCGCTGGTGCACTTGATGGCAAGCCTGTGTTATACTTCATAAGCATTTTCTTGATCATGGAATACTGATCAAGCTAGAGAATTTCCAAATATCTTAGTTAGTCATTGAGGATATTTCAAAGCCTGCATTTGTGAGGCATTCACTGCAGCAGTCACACAATTTCCTGTCTGGGTGAGAATTAGAAACATATCATCAGATGATGCTGTGCTTTTCACAGGGCTGGTATGTACTATCCTTACGAATGCTAACCGATCTGAGCTGTTGAAGAACAATGAATGACAGTGAACAGACTAGGTATTCAGGCATTCACCTAAGCTTGAAATTAGGATGAGAAATGGATACCAGCAAAAAATCATGTACATCAGTCAAAGCAGGAAAAATATGGCAAATCAACTCTGAAGGCCTGTAAAGACTTTACTAGAGGAGCACAATATTTTTCACTTGCTTTTCAAGGTGTCAGTGAGCAAATCATGCAGCTTGAAAATGATGGGAAACAGTATGTCTATTAAATTTCTAACTAACCATTGCCATTGGTGTAGTCATATGTGCCATGACAAGGTATTCTTGTAGGAAATTGAGCTCAACTTCTTAGGGAAGCATATTCAGGATAATGCATAAAATCTTTCACCTTTCCTCCTATTCAAAATTCAAGTAGTCATATAATGGCATCATAAAGAGAATACCATCTGGTGGGAACTGGCCAAAGAAGTTCCTTTCCACAGATTTTCCTTATGGTCTCTGCACTGCCTGAGTGCTAAGAGATTCCAGAGAGCAGTACACTTCCCCATTGCTGCATTATTCACTGCAGCAAATGCAGGGCTTTTTTTGAGAGCTTTCATGAAGTCTGTTGCAGCTGCTAAACTCAAGATACGACTGCAACATATGTGGTGAGGTGGCAAGTGGATTTCAGACAAAAGGGAGTAGATGATGGATCACTCTCACCATTTTCATGATCATTCAAGTCAGACAATACATCTGCAAACTCTATTTCATCAGTCACACCATCATCAATTGGTTCAGCCATGCTTGTGTCACCCATCAGGTGAGGCTGAAGGTTGCCAAAACTCCATGTAAGTAATTTGTAATTCTCCACTGTAACAATTACAAATTGGGCCAAAATTGCAGTTGAATTATAATTATTTTGTAATTTAATTAGCAAAATGAATTATTTTCAATTTAATCACTGGTAAATGCTTACCATGTTTAACCCTCTCCACTCTGGTGCCCTATCCAGCTGGCAGCAAAAATTAGTGGTCATGTTGGACCAAATTCAAAAACAGTTGAAAGGGTTGATACTTCAAAATCAAGTCAACACACAAGTATGACAGATCACAACTCTTCAATTTATTCTTCCCATCAGAAACAGAGGCATGAGAAAAAAAAGGTTTCAAGAGTAAAGGGCTCCAAATAATGCTATGATTACAATCCTCGGTACAGGTATCTGAAGCAAGTACAATGACCCAAACTAGACCCTAATCACAAATCCCCCCATGAAGTTTATTCCAAGGATTGCAGGGAGGACCAAGAGTGGTTCTTATTCAAAGACTGACATGAGGTGGACACACAGCATCAAATATGCCAGATAAACAATATTTCACTTCAAAAGCTGACTAAACATCCATTATCTACTCATTTCTATAGCTGATTAAACACATGCTGGATCAATCATCTTCAACAAGGTGTTAGCAGATACCAAGATTTCACCTGCCTAGATATAGGGAGGCAAAAATTGTCCAAAGGAATTCCTTTATAAGCGCCAAAGCATCTTAACAGCAGGGATAAGCCCAACATCAGTGTAGTTGAAATACATAATGCTTCCAAAAGCAAGGAAGGAGAAAACATAGATGAAATACTCAGCAAAAGTGGCAAAGCCTCCAAACAGCTTTGGTCGAATGTAGTCAACAACAATCCCATGTAGTCCCCTGATGAAAAAAAAGAAATAGAATGAAGAGACTGTTTCATTATCAAAAATAAAGGATGAAATACCTCTATACAAATGGAATCAAAGGAGAAACCATCCCACAGTAAAATATCAAATTCTTTTTCCTCTTTTATTGCATCTTCATCCCATTTTCCTTCCTTATTTGTCTCAAAAGTGCCTCTAGAATACTCACTAGAAAAGTTTATTTCGTGTGATAACACTTCCCAGAGGTTATCATTAATTCCAAAAAAAAAAAAATTTGTGGCAGCAGATGAGACAATTCCATCTTTCCTCAGTTACCCTATCAAAACTCCTACATGAGTTGTCAGGTATTATATCCAAAATCAATGGGAACTAAGAGACCTTCCAACCTGTTAAAGCCCTGTTAAGCATGAATGGGCCTACCCTGATGTGATTAGCCCTTACAAAGGCCTACACCAAGACTTGAAGAGGTTATGATATACAGAGGACTCACCAGTGTGAATGCAGACAGAGGAAGAGGGACATGATGTAATCCATGGCAGGGTGATAGAAGAAAGCACAAGTCGGAAGGAGCCCAAGAAGGCTCACTGAGACCACACGCTCAATGGACCAATGCAGACCATGGTTATGACCTCCATGAGCAGCTGTTGAGGCTGATGATGATGCCACCATTTTTGAGATATGAATTCCATTGGCAGGTATGAGAGACTTTGAAGATACCACTGCTGATAGCGTGCCGCATGACTTCAGTGGACCTTGATAAAATTTGCTAAAGGAAACTGGGAAAAAGGAAGAACTGTTGATGAAGGCATTGAAGTTTCCATAAAAACTGCTCTTGAAATGATTCATCTACAAATTTGTTTAAAAATTGCATCTTTTTGATAGTAAGAATATGTTAACCTGGTTTGAAAGCTATTTTCAAAACAGAATGCAATTACTTCCATCATGATACTTTGACCTATTCCAGCATGAGAAGAAAAGGGCAAAGCCCCTCAAAGTTCCAGTCCAGGATCTTTGGGATTTCTTTTCTAAGATTAACCCTTTCCACCCCGTTTTTTGAGCTGGGTTTGCCATCGGTCATAGTACAGCAGAAAAAAACCAAGTGGAAAGGGTTAATGCAGTGATAATGAAATAAAAATAAGGGTAATTAAGAAACATGCTTACTACGAGGTGCAGTCAGAAAGTCTGTACCTCATGCTTCGGGTATTGTTCATTAGACGCACACCACTGTTCACCTGTGCACACCTCACAATATGGTACATGGGTAGGTGTATAAATGTTCTGAAGGGGGAGTGGGGCAAATGGGGGGGGGAAAGGATGAACTCCCCTCCAAGCCCTACGGTTACCATACATCTGGTCATATGGTACGACTCCCTAGCCGTTGAAAGGGATTAGAAAGGCATAGGTTGATACCCTTTAAGATATTAAACCTGTTCTGGATGCTCCAAAGAACGGCCTTCATCTCAGAATAAAAGGCAGGTCTCAAAAATCGCTTTTCGTGACTTCAAGCAATGGCACGGTCTGATCCAGACACCTTTGAAATCTCCGCGTCTCTATGAATGGACGGAGCAGCAATTGACTACGCCAGAGCACACCGTCTCCTCCCTGCCATAACCAATCACCAGCTTCCCCAAGCTCCACATTGCACCTATTCTCCTGCTTGCACAGGTTTACCGCTTATACCATTACGTTGCTTTGTAGATATCTAGTATTACTTTAAAGCTATAAAATAATTTATAGCAAATTTTTACCAAGCCAAATTGAAATCAAACACTTTCTTTGTTGGGGTAATGTAACATCAAAATTACTTTGACCAAATGAAACGACACAATTACCCAGATGCATTATTTTGTTTCATTTCTTTACTCAGTCAGAGAAGTATTTGCTTTTTGAGAGTCACATAGACACCTTAGATTCTTGCATGACAGGGACACTGTATGATGAAACGAGGAAGGGATCTAATGGCTCCAGAAACCCCATAATCCGCTGCAACCGATGCAAGCGCTACCACAGTGCCAGGAATGGCCCAAAGTCTTGGGGGGGGGCAAGGGCTGGAAGGAATGGAGGCTGCTGGTTCTCCTTCCAGGGCGCTGATGGGAAACCATGCACTAAGCTAAGCATACGAACCATCCTTATGCTTGTGTACTGCTGGGCTCTCGATCTTTCAATACGGCAATCACAGCGCCTCTTGTCAACACGCATATCCTTGAGGAGAATCAAAATGCTCGTGGACTGGAGGAATCTTATTAGGGAAGTTCTCGTCCACGCCTTCCAAGACACTCAAATGGGCGGACGAGGTGAAATCGTCTAGATCGACGAGAGCTGTTTTCGGTGAGCATTGCGTATTGATGGGTCTCACATTTATCAAGTCTTATTTTATATTATGTGCACTAGTGGGAGGCAGAAAAACAATAGGGGACGGATTATGACGGGCAACAACTTCTCCCCAGCACGCCAAAACTATGCCAATCGAGTTGTCGGTCCATGGATTTTTGGATTGGCGTGGCAGCATGACGGCTTGACCGAAACAAGACTAGTCATCGTCCCTAGACGAGACAAGCGGACACTGCTCCCAATCATTGAAAGGCATGTCGCCAAGGGTTCTACCATCAGGTCCGATGAATGGGCGGCATATTCAGATATGCCTCACCATGGATACCCGCATCAAACGGTCAATCATAGCCAAAATTTTGTCGATCCTGTGACTGGTGAGGTCTCCTATTTGTCAGGTTCACAAATACTTATTTGCCTTGTGTTGCACGAGTTTCGATTCATCAGGGGCCAACACCCAAATAATCGAATTTCAATGGTCTTCCCTCAAGACAAGAATCATGAAGAGAGGTCGTGGGTACCACCAGAGGAATGCTGACTAACCATTTACTTGAAGGATGGTGGCCATCTCTCCACCCAATTCCCCATTCCTCGATTTCCTTGATGAAGTGCGGCGCTTTTGCCCCCAAAACTGATGCAATCGTTCATGTTCTCATGAAGTCCCACGTATTCTTGACATTTTTTCATTGCCTAAATATATGGCATTTCAGGGTTCCTCGTATCGGTTCCTTCCAGTGAACAGCGCATTGTGTGCATAGCATTCAGTGAACGCAAAGTTCAATGACCCAGAAAGGAAGCGAAAATCATGAGGGGTTGAGGTTGAGCGAGTAGTGATGGTAAAGCAGTTGACTTTGGTGACTTGAGCAGGAAATCGCACTTGCGTGCTGCAGTAAGGGACATACTATATGACACTATGATGTCATGATGACAGCAACAAGATGGATGCATCACTTCAGCATCAAACCATGACATTAACTGCTCAGCACCATGGCTGCGTATGGACTACACCAGCACGGCTGCGAACCTACGTTTTATAACAGACTTTGACGTGTCAAGACTTATTTGGACGAGGACAAACAAGTAATATAAGGGGTTTGGTAGGATTACCATAACCAAAAAGAGGCCTTCCGCAAGGATGAAAATTCGGGGGAAGGGGGGGTCCCACCTACCCGCCCCGCTCCCCCTTAATGGAGGGGTGGTGTGCGATTGGAACATAGTGTGCTTCTAATGGATGCAGGGTGCCTCAGGTGTGCATCTAACGAACAATCCCCCATGCTTCTAGCATATGTATCTGGAATTAGTTTGAATAAATTATGGTTTGGCAAAGTACTATGATCAGTTGTGAGTCTGATAGTACATTGTGAATATTGTTGGTATTGTTATTTCTGTGAAGCATTGGTTTTTCAACACAGAGTTTCCCCTACTGTCTCTGAGCAATGGAGTTTGCAGAGAAAGAACAAAGAACTGTGATCAAATGTGTGTGATCCGTCAGACCCCTTCCAATGAGAAAGTTCTTTATGCTATTTTTCTGGACAAACAGGGTTTAGTTCTACCTCAAGTAGTTCCTAAAGGTGTAACCAATAATGGAAGCTACTACTAACATGCGTTACAAACTGAGCTTTTACCAGCAGTACTGCAGTTTTCCAGTGGTTTAAAAATACACCTGAAGAAGCATTTGCCAAGTTCTTCAGAGAATGCCAACGAAGGTGGAAACTGTATGTAGGTAAAGCAGGTGATTATGTTAAGAAGTGACTGCAGTTTCTATTCAGAACTCCTGACTGTAAATGAGATATGGCTCGACAGTATGGACTATCTGACTGCACCTCATAAATTCAAATGAATATGCATCAGAACTTGGAAAATACCCTAGTCAATGATTGTTCTACATGGACTTTATATCATGTCTTTCTTAAATGAAAAAATATATACTTTCGAACCTAACAAAGCACTTACCTTTAGCTACTGCAAACATATATATACAACTGGAAAGCTTAAGCTTTAAACTCTGGTGGAATAAGCCTGACTAACACTCCCCTTGAAATTCCCTTGTTGAGGAAAGTAAGCTCAAATTTTCATCTATGCTACTCTAAGTGTGTCTTTTAAAGTTCCCCTTCATTAGTTTTGCTCTGGGGAAAATGTCAAAAACTACATGTGTCCTGTAAATTACATAAGCAACTAAAAAAAAGGAGAAAAAGTATTGTATGGTACCCACAATGTTTTCATAGAAGATATGGAAAAGAGAATGAGTCCAGCCAGGTGAATTGTATAGTTACCAAAAGGTTCCTCAATGAAGCCATTGGAGGAGAAGTGTGATAAGAAAGTGAGTACCAGTGATATGGCCTGTTGAAACTAAGATTACATTCTGCATGATGTCCTGATACTTTAGGCAGGGCAGTGTATATCTCTTGTTCACATTATACTAGAATATGCACTATACCAGAATATGAATAGTATGAGACCTTAACATCAGGCAGTGAAACAGGAGGTATACAGGCACTAGAGAAAGCAGAATAGAGCTGCTTAATTTGTATAAAGCAATTATAGCTGGGGTAGACTCAAACTCCTTAGTATAGATATTGGGAGGCAAACCCTAAGAACTAGATGTAATAATCCAAAGTCTTCATTGATATATGTATGTAGTACATACCAACACTTTATCCCTTGTACAGGAATAAGGGCAATTTGACCCATGCCGCAAGATGCTGCCGCAAGATTGGTACTGACAGACATCTTTAACACTCCTGACACTGAGAATTTCTGTGCTCGTCTCGCTGAGGCCTAGGTCTGTCATCTTGATTATCGTGTAGACACAAGTCTATCACCGGGTCAGTTGGATGATGCAGTACTGCAGCAAGCTCTCTAGTGTGCAGCGTAAACAGGATAGAAAACGTTTTGCTTTTTAGTTGGTGTAACACTCTTCCACTTGAATCCAACATTTTCCCACGACTAAGAAATGATTCTATTGGGGATAACGATCAGGAGCAGCTCAGACTTCGCTATGTTTGTCATATAAATGTCATAGAAGTCAAACCCAACTGAAAACGTACTAGAGAACCCGAGGGGAAATTTCTCACCAGCGTTTCTGGCCGCCTGAGAAGAGCCGAGGGTCCGGAGGAGGAGCGCCATCTTTGCCTAAGGTGAATGGGTCAGCCGTACAGTGATGTTACAATGATTTTCGATTGATGGGATTTCCCCCCTTCTCCTCCCCTCCTATTCTGGTAATCAGGAGTCAGGAGAGTTAGTGATATCAAGAGGCGATTTCGCCCATTTCGATATCACGTGTCGAGGTCGAGCGTTCCTTAATTTTAGGGTAGGCCTAACCCTCTTAAAGCTATATATTTTTGTATTTTTGTTTT